GCGGAGTAAAATGTTAGATCCATCATATGCAACAAAAACTCATGGCCTAAACCATATGCAAGGATAGTGATGTAACCATAAACATTGCACAAGTAATAGATATTTTATCATGTCTTTTCGATTCTCATAATTAATCATTTATATTATATAATTATATAAGGCTTATTTATATCTAACAATGATAAAAAAAAATATTAGGAAGACAAAGAGAGTGAGATGAAAAAAATATAACAAAAAAGTATTTTTATATCTTGAATTGCATATTAAAAATATAATTTATTTTATGAATTTATTAAAAAAATTTAATAAAATTATTTTTTATATTATTTTAATAAATATACTTTAAAATTTTATAAAATAAATTATATTTTTAATATACAATTTAAATTCTAATACATCAATCTCTAATTTTTTTACTCTTCTATACAAAATTTTTTAATTTTATTTTAAGAAAAGATATTCACGATTTATAAACATCCATTTCAAATGCACAGCCGACGCTTCCTAGCATGAGCCGCTCTTTTTCTCATCCCAAACTCAGAACTTTTATTCTTCGCGGACGCGCCACCGCCGTTTTGCTCTTCTACACTGTGTCCTCCTCCACCGTTCCTCTGATCACCTCCACTCTCCTCCAGCAATGCAAATCTCTCTTCCAGGTCAAACTCATCCATCAGCAACTCCTCATCCAAGGCCTCACCGACCACCTTACCACCCACCTAATTTCGGCATACATTGCCCACAATGCACCTTCCACTGCCATATCCCTTCTGGAGCGCCTCGTCCCATCAGCTGCGGCGGTTTTCTGGGGGAATTCTCTTATTCGTCGCTCTGTGACCCTCGGCTTCCTCCATGATGTGCTTTCTTTGTTTCTCAGGATGCAGAGGCTTGGCTGGCGGGCTGACCAATACACCTTCCCTTTCGTTCTTAAAGCCTGCGGCGAGATTCCGTCTTTAGGCCGAGGAGCTTCCGTTCATGCTCTCGTTTGCGGTTACGGGTTTGAGTCCAATGTCTTTGTTTGTAATGCGATTGTGGCAGTGTATGCGCATTGTGGCAATGTATGGCCGGTGTGGCGCGTTGGAGGACGCGAGGCAGCTGTTCGATGAAATGTGTGGGAGAGGGGTTTGTGATGTTGTCTCATGGAACTCCATTGTATCTGCTTACGGGCAGAGTGGCAAGGTGAGGAAAGCGCTGGAGTTATTTTATAGGATGGCTGATGAGTTTTTGGTCTGCCCGGATGTTGTTAGCCTTGTCAATGTGCTTCCTGCTTGTGCTTCTCTGGGTGCACTGTTGCAGGGCAAGCAGGCCCATGGTTTTGCAGTGAGAAGTGGCTTGGGTGATGATGTTTTTGTGGGTAATGCTCTGGTGGATATGCATGCCAAGTGTGGAATGATGGAGGAGGCAAAGAAGGTTTTTGAAAGGATTAAAATGAAGGATGTAATTTCTTGGAACACCATGGTTACTGGGTATTCTCAGATTGGTGGATTTGATGAGGCTCTTGGTTTGTTTGAGAAGATGAGGACAGAGAAAATTGAGTTGGATGTGGTGACTTGGAGTGCTGTCATAGCAGGGTATGCTCAAAAGGGATACGGTCCCCAGGCATTGGATGTGTTTAGGCAAATGCAGCTGTCTGGGTCAAAACCAAATTCTGTTACACTTGTCTCAGTCCTTTCAGGTTGTGCTTTAAGTGGAGCATTACTTCGGGGTAAGGAGATTCATTCTCATGTCATCAAATATATTTTGAACATTGATGAGATTGATCAAGAGAATTATCTTTTGGTGATAACTGCTCTGATTGACATGTATGCTAAGTGCAAAAGTATCAATATAGCCTGTTGCTTATTTGACTCAGTTGCGACAAGTGATAGGACCATTGCTACTTGGACTGTCATGATTGGAGGATATGCTCAGCGTGGGGAAGCCAATTATGCATTAGAACTTTTTTCCGAAATGTTTCAAGAACATAAAACTGTGAAGCCAAATGCTTTTACCTTATGCTGTGCTTTGATGGCTTGTGCTCGTTTGTCTGCACTGAGGCTTGGTAGACAAATGCATGCATATGTGTTTCGCAATCGATATGAATCTGCATCAGTGCTTTTTTTGGAAAATGGCCTTATAGATATGTATTCAAAATGTGGGAATATTGATGTTGCTCGAGTTGTGTTTGATAACATGCAGCAAAAAAATTCCATTTCTTGGACGTCCGTATTGGCAGGTTATGGCATCCATGGCCGGGGTGAAGATGCTATTGCAGTTTTTGATGATATGAGGGTGGCAGGTCTGGACCCTGATGGCATAACATTTCTTGCTGTGCTCTATGCTTGCAGCCATTCACGAATGGTCGATCAGGGAGTCAGATACTTCAATAACATGCATACAGAGTGTGGGGTTGTTCCTAGTTTGGAACATTATGCTTGTATGGTTGATCTACTGGGTCATGCTGGTCAATTGGATGAAGCCATAAAGCTTATTGAGAGCATGCCTATGGAACCAGCCCCAGTAGTGTGGGTGGCCTTACTTAGTGGCTGCAGGATTCATGCAAATGTTGAACTTGGGGAATATGCTGCAAACAGATTGATGGAATTGGAGTCTGAGAATGATGGATCTTATACACTACTTTCAAACATATATGATAGTGCTAGGCGTTGGAAAGATGTAGCACGTATCAGATCTTTGATGAAATATACAGGGATCAAGAAAAGACCAGGCTGCAGTTGGATTCAAGGAAAGAAAGGCACAGCAACCTTCTTTGCTGGTGACAGGACTCATCCAGAGTCGGAACAAATATACGAGCTTCTTGCAAGCTTAATTCAACGCATCAAAACCATGGGATATGTTCCAGAGACAAGCTTTGCACTTCATGATGTAGATGATGAGGAGAAAGATGATCTTCTCTTTGAGCACAGTGAGAAATTAGCTCTGGCATATGGCATTCTAACAACAGATCCGGGGTTGCCTATACGAATCACCAAGAACCTGCGTGTCTGTGGTGATTGCCATAGTGCCATTACTTACATATCCATGGTTGTTGAACATGAAATTGTACTAAGGGACTCAAGCCGTTTCCATCATTTCAAGAACGGATCTTGCTCTTGCAGAGGATACTGAATGCTGAATTATTGATCTTGAAGTATCAAACACAATTATAGGGTACATGCCTAGTTTATTAAACAGTACTGGGGAAATACCATTAAAAAAAACAGTGCTGGAGAGATATTTATATTTATTAATCTACACTTCGGTGATTGTATTTGTTGAGCAGCTCTATTTTGGATAAATTTCCTGACTTCCTCAATGAGCAATTTGGACTCTGGCAAGTCTGACATAGAATAAAACACCTGAAAAGCATTTGGATGCTCAACTAGAAATGCTTCTTTTCCTCACTTAATTAGTCCATCGGAGTACCTTATTTGCCAGTCATATAATGGATCTAACCCTCCTATGATCCAAGTGGTTGCTGGGAACTTTAATGTGGAAATATTTGCTGATCTAGGCCCAAAAACATTTGCTGCTGGATGGTCGCGGTCAGACCCCTCTGGCAGGAAGGCTCTCCACGAGCGGTCTGTCCCTTGCACTGAAATAAATGGAGTTTCTGTTAGCTTCATCTCAGATTCTGTCCTCTCCTCACTGCCAAAAAAGGGTTGTATTGCTATAAGTCCGGTAAGCTCCAAATTGTTGAACTGGTAATCAGAGGCTCTTACTGCTACATGATGTGCTATGTTCTCACCAGCACTGTCTCCAGCAATATAACACCGTTTCAGATAGGCAAATGTGGGGAAGTTTTCTACGCCAGTGTTCTTGTCCATGAACTTCAAGACATCCAAACCGTCTTCATACTAGCTTGGACACTTATGCTTCGGTGAGAGCCTATACTTGACTGACATGGTCACTGCAGGAATTTCTCGAGAGAGTCTTCTGCTCAAGTTATCACATCCAATGGAATTTGTGTTCATCCAGGTAAAGCCACCACCATGGAAGTAGAAGATAACCAGCATTTTCACTTTACCACAGCCATCTTTTGTGTGTGAGGGAATGTAAAGTCTGAACCAGAGGTTGTGGGTAGCATCAACAGTGGTCTCAAACGTGCTTACACCATTAATCGGTTCCCTGGAAGGAGGGGCTTTGAAGTCAAAGAGGTTCTTGGTACCCCGGTTTATGATGCCATCATCACAACGGCAAAAGATCCTGATGCCAAAGACGATGGACTGGTAGAGCCTGATCTTCCATGAAAGGTTCCGTGACAGATTTGCAGACATCGCTCACTTCCTGAGGTTTAGATAGTTATCTGACTCTCAACACCCAGCTTTAAACATATGCAGGTTGTTCGGCAGAAACAAGAAGAAAGAAATACCATGCATCAAAGAGGCGGCTGTTATGTTCCGCTTAGACATTTATTAATCATATTATGCAAACAATTACAAGTAGCAAAGAATTATAAAACATCGAACAATTGGAATAAAAGTTGCCGAAATGGGATTTTTCTTCAAGCTTTCTGCACCATTTAGCCCTGAAATTTTCTCTGTAAAGGTTGTCTTTGGGTAGTGATCAATAGATTTTTATCTCAATGGAAAAAAATTTTTATCTTCTGTTTTCCTTTTTTCTTTTTTCTTTTCATGGAAACAGGAATGTATTTTTCAGTGGTTAGCGCTGACAGCACAACCAAAAGCTGTTATACGGTCTGGATTATACAAAAGCAAAACAGTGGACTCACAGTATAAACCTTTGTTTTTGATACATTAGACAACAAGCGGTGCAATGCAACTCTTATTAGTACTACAAGCCTAAAACTTTACTAGCTAAATCCATACTCACTGACTTTAAAATTTCAATTTTAAATAGAGCAGTGATATATTGATAATTTTTTAAAATAATTTTTTATATCTAATTAAATGAATAAATATATTTAATAGATAATTATTTTAATAATATATAAAATTATATAAAAAAATAATATAAAAAATTATCCCTAAATTTTTTTTTTCCTTTTAAATAAACCATCAAGATGAAGATTCAAACCGTTACAATGTACTAAACAGCTAAAAAAATAAAACCAAGACTTTATTGGACTTATCTAAATCATCTTTCACATTTCGCACTTCAATGACAAATATTTTAACCAATAAATAAGGGAAATAATTTATTTTTATAATTCTACATCAAAAAAAGGTTATTTCTATGGTTAGGAGGGCATTTCAAACCCGCCATGAAGGATTATGCAACTTAAAAAGAGATACGCGCTCTTTCTTCAAAAAGGCTGAGGAATGCTCCAAGAGTTAGAGAGCCCTGTATTCAGAGTAGAACGGTGAATCATTAAGCCCCTTGAGATTAATAGAAAATGGGTCATCACAAACAGGCATGTTAGGAGGGGGTCCCCGGACTGTTGTCTCAGGAGTGCCCCCATTCTTCACAATGAATACAGTGTTCATTCCCCAACTATAATGCCGCTCCACATGACAGTGCAGTAGCCATACTCCTGCAAAAGAAAAGGAAACAAGAAAAAAATCCAGATCCCATTTAAGTATCAGATTTTGCCTAACGAGTTGAGATCAAAATCTATAAAACAATCTATTGACATATGTATGTACCGGGGTTAGTTGCTTTGAATCTAATTGCAAGCCATCCTGACTTTTGTGATGTGGCTGTGTTCAGTTTAGGGGGATCAAACAAATTGTAGGTTTTTGGATCTTCCACAAAATCAAAGTCTCCATCACCCGATCCAACGACATAGAAGCTATGACCATGTAGATGCATTGGATGATCCACTGATGCATTCAAAACGTTAGCAGATTGAAACACCATCTCCACTTCCTCACCATATTCTAGCACCTTCACCTTCGTCCCCAACGATGCAAATGTGGTATTGGCTCCCAAATCAAATGCCACAAAATCATAGAAAGTTGGTGGATTGTTCGGAAAATCATCAGTGTAGAACCCACTCAAGTTACTGCAACAGGTGAGGAAATGTTAACTTTGTTTATTCCAGTTTTGAAACACTTAACTTGAGAAATAGAATGGAATATATACTTACTAGTAATAAGCTTGAAGGACGTCAACACCAGGATTGACCCAAGATACGTTGTTCAAGGTTGTGATTGAAATATTGCTAGTATCATTAACCTTGTAGGCTTGTAGATTAGCAGTGATGTACATACGGGTTGTTACATTCTTCGGGACATACGCATCCTGGGGGTACAGGCTCTTTAATTTGCTCCTGAAGCTCATTGCAGCATATTTGTCATAGAAACCTGGAAGGAAGGTCGGGAAATAAGGCACTGACGAAGGAGGAGTCACGCTACCGTTATATTGTAGAATTGCAGTGACATTTGTTTTGTCAAATTCACTGAAGGTTGCTTCACCACTAAAGCATTGTCTTACAGCCATGTAATATTGACCAGGTTCTTGGTTGGTCGTAACCAAAAGATTCATAGTTTGTCCAGCTTCTATCACAACATAGGTCGTCTCGAAAGGTTTTAGATTTGATGCATCCATTCCAACAACAGTCATGTTGTGTCCGGCTATCGAAAAAAACAGTTCTGCATTCATCGCAGCATTGACCAGCCGAAGAAGATAAGTCTTGCCATACTCAACTTCCCAACGGTATGTCCCCTCTACATCAAAACATTTTGTTTATCATATAAACTAAACCATTACTCCAATCGAATTATATTTTCAAAAAAAAAAAAAAAGTGTCTTGCAATTTGAATTGCACTGAATAACAAAATGTTAAATGATGATGGGCCCCTGGGATTAGATGAAGACTTTTCCGTTTAATAATTATTATTAATTTTTTGTAATTTGTTACAATTTAGATTGCAAAAATGCCAAGTTCTTATATTTTTATACTTAAATATGACATATATGATGTGATACCTCTAGAGCAAGGACAGAAGTCTCCAGGCTGACTGTTGATAGTGTAAGAATCAGAGCCAGGTTGATCTGAACCTGCGGACTCTATCACCTCTAAGTTTACGTCATAAGTATACCAGGCTCCTGCAACAGTAAGCAAAGCAAAGATTAAAGTTCAACCTTTATTACAATTCAAAACAGCTTTAAAGCCATAGATTAGCTAATTGCATACCGAAAACAAGTATTTCCTCAGCATCATGAGAACGAGGATAAGGATAAGTAGATCCCCCCTCAGGGTATATGACGATGGCACCGTGAACTCCGACTCTGGTCCAATCACTATGAGCATGCCACCAAAGTGTCCCTTCCTCATCCGAAAATTTGACTTCATATGTGAAGTTCATCCCCGGTTTAATTGGGCATTGCGTCACGTACACTGGACCATCCATCCATGGATTTCTTGGTTGCTTTACACCGTGCCTGCAAAAAACATTTAGGCAATGATTAGTTTCTCTCTAAAGCTTAAGCAAGCACTATATACCATGCAATGCCAGCAACACACTCATTAGGAGCAGAGCACAAATCCTAGAAAGTAAAAACAAAACCCGTCTATATTCCTATAAAACTGTTAAGATGTGAACACAATAATTTAGTTCATATTTATACTTATTGTAAATATTTTATAATTTAGAATATTTTTTTTATATATTTTATACCTTAAAATATTTTCTTTGTAAACACCTATATATAAATCATTGTATATACAATATTATTAAAGAAAGTAATAAACCTTTCTTCAAATATTTCTTCTTCTTTGCTGTTTCTAATATAGTATCAAAGCTATAAACTCCTAGTTCTTCTCTTTAATCATCACTACTTGGTTTTTGAGTTGGATTTTCAGATCCATTTTGGATCTAGAACTTTGTCATTGAGTTCTCTTCTCTTGCAGATTGGATTTTTATTCTCAATTCTCAGGCCTTTTTTGAGAGATTTTGTTGAGTTATTATTTCGATCTTGGCATTTATTTCTTCATATTTCTAGAGATTTTTTAGTATTGTGAGTTTTGCTGATTTTGTTATGAGTTTTGAAAGAACTGTGATTCATCCTGTTGTTGTAATGGTTGCCAAAGTAGTGATAGACCAACCTATTGTCAACCCTAAATCTCTAAAACAGGTCATATTAAATCTTTTTAATGCTCTCACTACTTTGTCTACTGCTTTAGGTACTAAACCTTAGTATTTTGATTCTCGTTGTTGTAATCACATGTTTTCAACTACTGCTTATGTCTCTTCAATGTCACCAAATAATTCCTTTCTTGACATTTATTTTGGTGATGGCTCTCTTGTGAATGTTAGTCATATTGGCAATATTTCTACAAATTCTTTGACTTTACCAAATGCTCTCTTCGTTCCAAAACTTAGTTATAATCTTTTGTCTATTAGTCAATTACACGATCTTGGTCTTGAAGTAACATTTTCTGCTTATGGTTGTCATGTGCAGGACTCACAAACAAGACAATTTCTTGGAATTGGTCACAAGGTGGGGTGTATGTTTGAGCTCAACTATCTATATATTTTTTTATCATAAAATGGATACACCATCATTTCCAAATGATCAATTCTTCCAAACCCTGCTTTGTGCTATTGAATTAGAGTCTTTGCTAACCCCATATTAACAAATCTTCCAAGCCTATGCTATTACTAACATTTCTCCTTTTCATTTGTGGTACTCATGGGTCGGACACACCTTAGTTGATAAACTTCATCCTTTTATCTCTTGTGGTTTATTAGGATTTGTTCCAAATGAATCCTTGCATTGTGTCATGTCAATTTGGAAAAAAAATAAAAAACTCAGCTTTATCTTTTTCTAGTAGTCATTTTCTTTCTTCTGCTTCTCTGGATCTTGTGCACTCTGATGTTTGGGGTCTATCTCTAACACCTACCATGGGGGGTCCTAGATACTTTGTGCTATTTATTGATGACCATACTTGTTTTACTTGAACATATCTTATGAAAAATCGCTTTGAGTTACCACAAATTTATATTAATTTTGCTACCATAGTTAAAACCCAATTCTCTAAAATTATCGAAGTTTTGAGAACTAACAATGCCGTTGAATATCTTAGTATTGAACTTCAATCATTTCTCAAAGAATAGGGTACACTGACACAACAATTTTGTCCTTACACTTCTCAACAGAATCGGCAAGCCAAATGCAAACACAGACATATCCTTGATTTTGCTCGTGCCTTGCTCATTTCGACTTCTTATCTAGAACGATTTTGGGGTGAAGTTGCTCTTATAGCTATTTATCTCATTAATCGGATTCCATCATCAGTCATCAATAATAAGTCTCCATACGAATGTTTGCATGGTATTCCTCTTGTTTATGATCTACTTAAGGTTTTTGGTTGTGTTTGTTTTGTTATTCTTCCACCTCATGGGCATAACAAGTTTTGTTCTTCTTCCACCTCATGAACATAACAAGCTAGAGCCTAAAGCTTGATTGTGTTGTTTTTTGGGTTATGGGATTACACATAAAGGATATTGTTATTGGGATCCTCTGTCACAAAAACTTTGAGTCCCATGTCATGTTGTCTTTTGAGAACACACTATGTTTTCCTTGTTATCAAACTTCCAAGTGTCATCTTTTGATCAATCTCCACTTTTTACTAACCCTTCTATTGAGTTATTTCCTAGTGACTCTAATGCAGATACATTTGATGGGCTTCATGATGCCTCTCCACATGCTCCCCTTGGTTTTATAAAAGATGCTTTGCTTGCTATTAATGCATTAGACAATGCTAACTTTTTTTATCACTTGTTAGATCTAACCTTGTTGATATTGAGCCTGAAAATGAGATCCTTAATCCAACTTCAAGTTGTCCTACTTGGATAAGAAATCCTCCTAGCTATCTTTATAATTATCATTGTTTTCCTACTATTGCCTTCTTACATGAGCCTCAATCCTATCAAGAAGCCTCTTTTAACCCTTTTTAGCAGCAAGCTATGCAAAATGAATTACAAGCTCTTGAGAAAACTTGTACATGAGATTTAGTTAATCTTTCTGTTGGAAAGCCTCTAGTAGATTATAAATGGGTGTACAAGATCAAAACTCGGTCTGATGGCTCTATGGACCGTTACAAGGCTCATTTGGTTGCTAAAGAATTTATTCAGGAATATGGGATTGATTATGAGGAAACCTTTGCACCTGTTGCTCGTCCTACCTCAGTTTGTAGTTTGATTGATATTGTTGCTACAAAAGGATGGAAATTGTTTCAAATGGATGCGAAAAATGCCTTTCTAAATGCCTTTCTAAATGGTATCTTTCAGAGAAAGTTTACATGAAACCACCTCCTAGACTTGAGCATCCTCCAAACAAAGTTTGCCGATTGAAGCAAGTTTTGTATGGTTTGAAGCAGCACCTTGAGCCTAGTTTGCCAAGTTTAGTACCATCATCAATGAATTTGGTTTTACTTCTAATCCTCATGATACTGCATTGTTCATACACAAGACTAATCATGGTATGGTTCTACTGCTTCTTTATGTTGATGATATGATCATTATTAGGGATAATATTTCAGGTATTCATGATCTTAAGCAATTTCTCAGTCATAAGATTGAGATGAAAGATCTTGGTGTTTTGAATTTTTTAGGACTTGAGGTCACCTCTTTTAATGATGGCTATCTTCTCTCCCAAATACTAATGATGGCTATCTTCTCTCCCAAACAAAATATGCTTTGATCTCATATCTAAAGCTAAACTCACTGACAATAAAACAACAATTACTCCTACTAAGCCAAATGTTCAACTTACACCCATGGATGGTTCTCTATTAGTTGATCTTACTCCCTATAGATAGTTGGTTGGAAGCTTAATTTATCTCACTATAACACAACCAGAAATAGCTTATATAGGTCATGTTGTTGGCCAATTTATGGCTACACCTCACTCAACTTATTATGCAGCAGTACTTTGCATGATTCGCTATATTAAAGGTACCATTTTTCATGCGACTTTTATGCTCATTCATCTCTTGAACTTTGTGCTTACTTTGATACTGATTAGGCTAAAGACTCTAATAATCATAAGTCCACCACTGGATATTGTCCTTTTCTTGGTGATTCCTTAATCTCTTGGCATAGTAAGAAGCAGATAGTTCCATCAAGTTCTAGCACAAAGGCTAAATATCGAGCAATTTGAGGCACCACATCAAAGTTACTTAATTTATGTTGGCTACTAAAAGATATGAGTGTTCCTCAATCACTTGCTACTAATCTTTATTGTGACAATTAGAATGCCATGCAAATTGCTCATAATAATGTCTTTTATGAACACACTAAACACATTGAGGTTGACTGTCACTTTGTTCACTATCATGTTACACAAGGAACTGTTCATTTTGTTTCATTGGATTCACTGATCAACCAGCGAACCTCTTGACCAAAACTCATTTTCTTGAATGCTTTTATACTCTTCTTTCCAAACTCAAGTTGGTTTCATCACAATCACCTTAAGTTTGAGAGGGGATGTTAAGATATGAATACAGCAATTCAAATCATATTCACATTTATTGTAAATATTTTATATTTTAAAATATTCTCTTTATATGTCTTATATCTTAAAATATTTTTTTAAACACCTATATATAGGTTATTGTACATTCAGTATTATTAAAGAAAAAAAGAAACCTTTCTTCAAATATGTCTTCTCTTTTTTTGTTTCTAACAAAAACAAACAGAAATTCTAGTTTAAATCAACTGCAACAAACGTCCCCAAAATCATCTCTACTTCTAAATAATATGCAATTTCTTCTGGGACGTGGGGTCTTCTCAAGAATGGAGGGGGTTAATGAATCAGCCGAGATTGTCTTTTTGTTGTGTGCGGACAGCTTGGATTAGTTGAATCGAGCTTAATGGGCTGGGCGATGGGCGTGAGCTGGGGACTAGTGAAAGCAATGGCCATTCAGCTATGTTTAGTATGAATGTGGTTATTTGTTTTTAGTTTTGGTTTTCAAAATTCAAACAATCAAATCAATTAAAAATCAAAGTTCAAGTATGGTTATGGTTAATGGGTTGCACAGTGAACGTGAGCTAGGGATTAGTCAAGACAATGGTTCCATAGCCTTTATTTAGTATGATTGTAGTTATTTTATTTATTTTAATTTTAAAAATTCAAACATTTAAAACTAACGATTGAAAACGAAAATAACAAATTAGGGTTGGCAACTTATTAGTTATAAAGTTTAAAAATTAATATCCAAAACTTTAAATTTAATAAATAGGCTAAAGCAGGGCATAAGGTCCCAAATTTACACTAAATTTGCAATTAAGGTTCTAAAGTTTTGTTACACTCAATTAAGATACTAAAATTAGTGAAATTTTTAAACAAGGTCCCAATTGAAGAAAAGTTGGAAACCATTAAGTCAATTAAATCATTTATTAACACCATTACGGCCAACTGGTTAAATAACATAAATAATACTTAGGCTTTTAATTTTTTCCTTCAATAATTTTAAAACTTTCAAAAACCTCAAAAAACTTCTTAAACCAATTTTTTTGTTGATAAGGAAATTTTTTTGGGACCCATAATTTAAAATTAATTTTAGTTATTTAAAATAATTTACTAATTATCTATTAAGTTATTTCATTAAAAAGTTAATTAACCATTAACAATTTTTCTGAGTTTTTTTTTCCATAAAAAATTTTGAATTGGGTTTGGACAGTAAATCCTTTGATGAAAAAAAAAACAAAAATACAAAAAAAATTGAGGCCCACATATATGCCACATTAATTTTTAGTTGAGTCCCACAAAATTTCCTCATAAAAGAAAAACAAAATTTAAGAACCTTTTGAGGTTTTTGGAAAATTTTAGGGTTATTGAGAGCTAAAACTAAAAGTCAAGGAGCTGTTTTTGTTATTTAACCAATTAGATTTAACAGTTCTAATAATTAATTTAAGGGACGTAATGGTTTCCGGCAAATTGGGTCCTTAGTTGAAAATTTCAACAATTTTAAAAATTCATTTGAGTGTAATAAAATTATAAGACCTTAATTGAAAATTTAGTAAAAGTTCAAGAACTTGATGCATTACTTTAGCCATTAATTTAAATAATTTTTTAATTTTATTTTAAAATTTCTAAATTTTTAAAAATCAAAATCAAAGCTAAATTTTTAAAATTACAAGCCAACAACTTGAATAGTTCAACAATTATTTCATTTTGTTAGAAATAAAAGATTTTAAATTTAAATCATATAATATGCAAATAAAGTAGAATAAAAAATAAAAGGTAGTTATTTTTTGTTGTGCAACAAAATAAAAAAAAATAAATTACAATATTCACTACACAAAAACGTCAAAATTCGAAACCTCAATTTTTTTATTTATTTGTAGTGGTGATACCTGTGGCTTGGGGATCAACTCTTTGGTGACCTGGAGGGTGATGACACTGATAAGAATGGTAAGTTTGGCTTCCAGATGGCTTTTATTGAGAGGAATTTGGGATAGAACAACTTTTTTGTACATCTGATTACAAAATATATAATAAGGATAACCCTTCTTTATTCTCATATTCCTCTTCACTAGATTCAAAATTTTAAACTTGAAATTTTAAATTTAAAATTTTAAACTCCTAACCGTTGAAATAATCTATTGGGGTTGGGACATAACATTAGTGGGCATTAATTATGGTCCAAGCCCACAATTGGAAAAGAAAGACACGAAGGATCATGACGGCACTCAGTTTTTGGAAAGGATTTGAAAGTGAAAGTGAAACAGGCAGTTTTTTTTCTTTTGGTTGAAATGTCAATTTAATCTTTCAGCTTTCAAATTTGTACACAAATTGTCTTTAAACTTCAAAAAATATCAAATTATCATTGAACTAAATTTTTTTAGTACCAATTCCATCCTTCATTAGTTAAATGCTGACTTGGACTATGAAATTCACAAAAAAAAAAAAAAAAATCAATTTTCTTTTATTTCAAATATTACATGCAAAACTTTAAATTAATTTATGATGAGATGGATCTTTTTCAGCATTCATGTGAACGTAGGAACCATTTGATTCAAAATATATAGCAAAATGATGTTTTGCGTCTAACCATTAAATTATATATCTAATATTAATTTTGTGTCTAAACATAAAATTCTAATTAAAATATTGTTTCGAGACCATTTGTTTTTCAATAGTTAATTTTGTAGGTGGACCATAATCATGATGGGAATAGTTTTGTAATTTTGTTAGTTTAATGTATTAATTAGTTAGTGGTCCCTAATTTATGTATGTAAGGTTAAATGAACCATTTCATTTTCCACATCATCCATTCAATTTAAAAAATAAATATTTTAATTTAAGAAGTTGCCATCTCAACTCTTTGAATTTCTATGTCAGCCATAGAAATTAAAGAAGATGAATTATTTGATAGAAAAGTTGTCAATTGCAACATTTAACTGATGGAAGAATGGAATTGATACTGAAAAATCAAATTTAAGGATCATTTTGATATTTTTTGAAATTTAAAGAAATTTTTGTTCAAACTTAAAAGGTTAGGGACTAAATTGATGTTTTAACTTTTTCTTTTTTGTGTGAATAAATTCGATCGATAGAGTGACAATATGCAAACAACTGTTTTTTTTATAACTTTTATATATTGTTAAATAAATGGATATAAATAATATCATAAATTTCAATAAAATAAAAGGAATCAATTATTAAATAATATATAAACTTGTATGAAAAAATTAAATTACACAAAAAAATTGCCTCCAAATTATTTTCTAGTTTGATGCTATTTTCCATGTAAAAAAATTTAATGAAAACTAATCTTTTTATCTATTTTGGGTTTAATATTAGTGATGAAAAATATTTTTTAGGGGACTAATTTTCTTATTTTCCCTTGGTTGTGTTGTCCTATTTAGATTTCATCAATTATTAAATAATATATAAACTTGTATGAAAAAATTACACAAAAAAATTGCCTCCAAATTATTTTCTAGTTCAATGCTATTTTCCATGTAAGAAAAAAATTTAACGAAAAATAATTTTTCTATCTATTTTGGGCTTAATATTATTGATGAAAAATATTTTTTAGGGGACTAATTTTCTTATTTTCCCTTGGTTGTGTTGTCCTATTTAGATTTCATCTAACTAGTTATTAAGTGTTAATTGTTATATTTACCAGTATGTTTTTGTCTCTTTTTTTGGGGGGAGGGGGGATTGATATTTATGAGCTTGTTATACCTTGGTAATTGCATAATTTACTCCTATAATTAATTAATGAAGGGTCCAAGACCATGGATCCAATAAAACGAAATTTTTTTAGGCAATGATTTATACACACTTTAGTTCAATACATTGCATCATATACTCATTGAAAAATTATTATTTTTTAATTTAAAATTAAAACAGATAAATTTAAAGATACAATCATGAATATAAGATACAAGAATTGGCTGAATTGGCTGAATTAGCTAACTCAATTGTAATTATGTCATATTTTAATAGTTGAATCAGAATGAGTATCAAAAAGTGTATTGAACCGAATGTACATTAATTACTTTTTTTTTTTTTTTGATTAACATGATTGGTATTCAGCCTTTAGCTTGCCCGACTCTCGAGCACTTGTAAACCTTGGAGAACACACTTCACATAATTTTACTCATATATTTGATCATCTTAATACCTCACTTGATTACAAGTTAATGTCGTGCTTAAATTCAACACTTCTACACATATATATTTCTCACTATATCCTCTGAAAACTCTCTATGTAGAGGAGAAAATTGTGCGATTTACTCGGGTAAATACAAATCAATAGTTTACAGCAAAGATCGGGTAATATTGGATTGTTGTATCCAAAAAAAAAAAAAACATGCTTGTGTGCATATTTCCTACTGATCATCAATAAATTAAATTCTCCATATAAACCTGAATCTTAAAAAAAATGATTTTCCCACACCTCAGCCTAATGCTCCTGTTATGTTTTTTCTTATTTATATTTATTATATTTGTGTTTTTCTTTATTAAATTGTTTATCTACATCTTGTATTTAGTTCCTCTTTTTTTGGGGTAAAGTTCTATTTCGTTCTTTTTTTTTTTTTTTCTTTTTTTGTAAAGTTGTATTTAATTCCTTTTGATAACCATTATCTTTGGCTTTTATGATTTTGTGCTTATGACTAAGGAACAACAATGATATATATGATGTAAAAGATGAGAGGAAAGCTTAAGAAACAACGAAAGGCAAGAGGAAGAACAGATATACCAGTGAATTGTAACACCATAGCTAGCATGGTTATGGACGTTGACAAGCATAGTATCACCTTTCTGAACATAAATGGTCGGGCCAGGCAACTGATCATTTACAACCAACATGCTGCTGGTTACACAAAGTCTTGTGAAATTTTTCTCCCTCAGCTGTGGTGTCAAGAAAAGAAAAGCAACAGAGATCAGTTAACTAATTAAAGAACCATGTGCAGAGAGAAAGAAGCATATATATGACAAAATAAAAGGAGGCCTATTCTGTTTTCGATCGAGTACTTACATGAAAGTCATGGTAATGCAACTTGCCTTCAGCTAAGCAAAGCATGGTCCAACTGAGAAGGATGACAATAAAATACCAGGAAACTACAGCCATTCTCAAATGATAAATATCGATGCACTATTTTCATGTACTAAGTTTATTGCATATATAGATAAAACCCCCAGCTCCCCCGCCCTTTTTCTTTTCAATGGACCTAATGAGGATGGCTACGACGAACTAACCCAGAAAAGGATTTCTTTTTAATGTTTTGGAAAGACTGATTTTCGGTTGATCCTAGTGGACATCTAAAGGTCAAGTCAAATATATATATATATATGTAGTTTTTCCACTTACCTATTCCAACTGCCAGCTCCAACAACACCGGATCCAAAAATTATTCGTATGAATCATGTGATTATGAATTTTTGTTTGTTGGGCTATTTATCACACTAGATATCAGTTCAAAGTCAGTACATTACCCATAATTCGATGAAATACTGTTAACTAATAACGTGTTAAACAGCAGTGCCACATGTACACAGTAGATTGTCTGGTACGCACTGTTCAGAAGAATTTTTTAAAAAGTAAAAACCTATCAGCCAATCAAGGGGCCAAGTGCACACATACACAGCAGTCTGTCAAATGCAGCTACCATTCTTCAATGTTAGGCAAGAGTTTTGATTTTTTTTTTTTTTTTTTATCTGAATGAATTTCCATTCACGTGTTTTTTATGCATTTTCATCACGAGTTAATAAAGTAACTAATCTTTTAATATTTCAATGGCATTTCCATAAAATGAGGTAATTCTTTAATGGAAGTGGTAGTTGCCACCCGCTAGCTAATACTAATAGTACAATGGTAATTTCCTCCTTGCATCCTAATCAATAAAAAATTACATTTCAAAAAATTTAATTAAGAGAACACTTCAACATATATAAAAACTTCTTTTTTTCTATTTTGGTTATATAATAAAAAACAACTATTTCTCATCTTTTAATTCATTCAACCTGCATATTATATTATTTAAATTTAAAATCTCTTAATTTTAATTAAAAAAAGTTTACTATTAAACTATTTAAATTGTTAATACTTCAACAAAAAACTTACCACAATGATATGATAGAAAACTGTGATATAGTAGAGGAAATATGTGACTTGACATGAGAAACCCTCTTTTGACATAGTAGTTTTTATTAGTTGAAAATACATAAGGTTTAAATTTGAAAAGAATATTTTTATTTTTTTAAGAGTTTTTTTAATTTATACATTAAAGATGCTTGTAAAAATTGATATTAATTTTAGTATTGGTGTCAAATGAATAAGTTTAAGTACATTGCTCACAAATTAAAGATTAATATTTTTTTAATACAAATTTATAACAAAAATATATATATTTATTACATCTAAAGGCACATGTTGAAAAAATCTTTAAAAAAAAAATGAAAATCAAGTTCACCCATAGTTAAAAATGTTAGAATAGCCAATCTCAACTATGTAATAAACGAGACTTGATATTTATAGATGGGTAGGGAGTCAGCATGAAGATGATTGAGATAGAATTGAAGTATCTTTAGGTTGTTCTCATAGCCAGGTCTGCAGAGGAATGCGTTCACCCGTTTGGAGCCATTGGTGAAGACCTTCGTGCTAGAAAGTCTTTCTATGGTTATCTTTATTTTAATCATATCAAGAGAGATTGTAATGTTCTTGCACACAATTTAACACAGTTACTGACACCCACTTCACCATGGGAATGTATCTAGTTTGGCACTCTACCAAGAGAACTATGCACCAAACCCAATCTTTAAGCAATAATATTTGTCTCTTAAAAAGAGAAAATATCTCACCATCTTATGGTTACAAAAATGTCTTGATTTTTTATGCCCTAAACAAAATTATGTAAAATTGTTACAATTCAGAGGGAAAATTTGTCAAATCAAATTTCTTGAGTGGTCTTTAACTTGAAATATAAGGTGTATTTGGTGAAAGACTAATTTTCTCGTAAAAGGTTTTCTTGAGAAAGTGATTGATTAAAATATTATATGAAACATTAAAAAATATTAGATAGAAAGTTATTACATTTATTAATCAAATTTTATTGAAATTTTGATAAATTATTAATTTTATTGTATTTAGTAAAAAATTAGCATTGATAAAATATAAAGAAAATTACTGAAAAAAAGTTATGAAGAACTTTTCCCTAAAAAAGAGGTAAAAAAATTTTATAAGTTAAAAATTATATAAAAAATAATTGAAAATATTATTTTTACATTTTATTTATCATAATTTTGATGTATATAACTCTTAAAATATTTTTACATAATCTTAGAGAGAGGGTGATTTTCTAATAAAGCAAACCAAACATTCCATAATTATTCAGTTAAAACCTACTTTTAACTTTTTATCTTAATAAATTTGTAGTTATTAATCCATCACCTTCTTTTATAATATTTTTAACCCTTTACTTTAATAAGTTTATAAGTTTTAACCCCCTCATCTTAAACAATAACACTTTTAGTCCCTTACCTAGATAAATTAAAGAAAATAACCCTTATTTAAAGTCAAATTATAACATTTTATTAGTTGACTGTTAATTCTGTTAGTTTACAATTAACATAATTAATAAATAAAATTAAATTTAAATTTTATGATTTTTATAACGAAATATTAATTAATGGATGCTAACAGTTAGCTAACATATATAATAGTTAACTAACGAAACTAACAATTAATTAATAGAACGTTATTACTTGATGTTAAATAAAGATTATTTTTTTCAATTTATATATGTGAAGGATTAAATGTGTTATATTATAAGGTGATGCATTAAAATTTATAAATTTATTAAAATTAAAAATTAAAAATATTATAATATAAAATAAAAAGATAAAACTTATAAAATTTATTAAAGTATAAACTTACTAAGGTACAAAGTTAATTTTTGCCTAATTCTTCTCGGTTGTCATAGCGTGGACCACAACAGCACCAAACCCATGCAGCTCTATTCAAAAGTACAAGTTTCTCTTTCGATAGTCCAACTTTCCACGAGAAGAATCGCCGTTGGCTCACAATAATATGTCGCCATAAAAAAAGGAGGGACAGAAAAGCCATGGGATAGAAATCCTAGTTATAGCCGTGGGCCACTTGTTCCCATGAGAAATCAAATCATTTTGATAGCGACAGGGAATGATTTAATTATAATTTTTTATTATTTTTAATATAATTAGATATATTATTTAAATAATTAATTTTTTTTATTTATTAAAATTTATAATATTATATATAGTTATTTATTTTGTTTTTATATTATTGTTACATGAACAATCCCATAAAAAAATAAATAATGATATAATAATAATTTTTTTATAATTATATATTGTAAATTTAGTAGTTGTGGTTTTATTTTTAATTTTTTAATATAAATTTTAAATAAAAATTTAACATATTATATAAAGTTATTTATTTTGTTTTTATATTATTGTTACATGAACAATCCCATAAAAAAATAAATAATGATATAATAATAATTTTTTTATAATTATATATTG